GGCGGCGGCGGTGGCGCGGGCAGGACCGGCGGTATATCGCGGGGGCGCCTCGCCGTGCGTAACCAGTCCGGTTTTTGAACTGACCAATTTCGCCCTCTTGTTTTTTTTGGGGGGTTTCCCAGAAGCCCGTGTGTTTGTTTGTTTTTTTTAATTATTTTGCTTTGCAAGCCAGCGAAGAGCTGCAGCTCTCGAGATGAGACGGGCGTCAGGCTAGTTTTCGTGTCCCCCGTTGTAAAGAATCTAGTTAGACTGATATTGGGGGTTTTAACTTTCTCCACCCTCAGTGTTTGCCGCGGTAGCGATATCCCTGTTGTTTCGGCGGACTGGAGGAGCGTCCCCTGTCCCTTTCGAGGGATGAGCCCCGCTGGTCTCGGGCGTCGATGGCCACCAGTGATGTATCTCGTCTTGGGCGGTATTGAAGGACAGAAGGCTGGGCTCTCGTGGGCGGGCCTGCTCTGCGTTTGACCCTCCCCCGAACTCATGCCGGAAAATCGAGACGGGTGGGGGTGGCCATAAAGCCCCCCCTTTGATCGCGGTCTGCATCGGTCGGAGCTGGGGGGAAACGCCCCCACTTGTAATCGACGAGGTGCCCGCGTCTTTTCGCCCCTCCCGGGCCTGAAGGGGGTTTCCCTCCCAGCCCCCCAGGCTTTTTAACGAGCTGGTGGCACGCGCTAATTGCTCCATCGGCCGGGCTGAAGCCCTCTCTTGAGAAGAGACCTCTTAACCCTGCTGGACAGCTCTTCGGGGACAGGAGGTGGGAGGGGGGGGGGCGGGGGAGAAGAGTATGTGCTCTCTCCAGGCAGGTGTTTCTTGAATACGCCCTGGCGTATTTCCAGGTGTGGGTCCTGATAGACGTGAAGCAGATCTCGGGGTTGCCCACAAGAGAGTCTCGCGTGTGCGCGCGTATATACGCACACGCATACCGGCGGCGAGCGTCGCAGGCGTTCAGGTCGATAGCGGGGTCTCTGTCCCGCGGGGCAGCACAGTCGTAGGTAGGCCTCGGTCCGAGCCAGCTCCTGCCTCCCGTCGGCACCGAAGCTCGGCGAGCCCCCACCCCCCCCCAGGCGCCACCGCCCTCTCCACGCTGCTTTTGTTTTTTTTTTTGTGTAGAAGATCGCCCCGCGTTCCGAACGGCCCCACGCTTGGCGCACGGGACGGGTCCTGTCTCTGTATGTTTTAACCTTTTTTTTTTTAAATAAAAATTGAAAGAAAAAAAAAACCCCAGAACCGAGTGTGGCTTTTTCCCTCTTGTGTGTATTTTTTTGTTTTGTTTTTTTTTGGGGGGGGGGGTGAACCGGCCGTCGGCGCTTGG